CAGGTACTGAGGGGGGGGTCCTGGCTCTTTGCCCCCCCAAAGCTTGGAGCCCCAGCTCTGTCCTCTCTCCTAGGCCAGTGGGGAGGGCCGGGGGGGGGCTGGAAATGTTTCCTGGCTAAAATTATCCCCTTGGTGTCCCGGGCCAGCTGTCCCCTGCCCGGCCTGCAGCCACCTCCCCCCGAGGTCCTGGGGACACTTCCTCCCCCCTGGCCTGCCTGGGGAGTTGGATTTGGTGCCTGCTCCCTCCTGCCATCCCCAAATCCTTGCCCCGTTGCCCCCCCTGAGGAGCCTTGGGGTGGCTGCTCACGGAGAAAGGTGCTTGGTGACCTGGGTCTGGATCTGCAGGGTGGGGATGGGGATCAGTGGTGAGGCTCCAGGACAGCCCTCCTCTGCTTTGTCTCCTGTCTCTCCCAGTTTCCTCCCCAGCTTTCTCCTTTCTCTGATTCCTTGAACTCATGGATCCACTCAGCACTCACTCTTGGCTGCCACAAAAGCTCAGGGGATAGTTTTTCCTTCTGGTGTTGCTCTTAATTGGATTTTCTTTTCAGTGCTCTTTGCCCAGTGGATTTATGGAGGGGGAGAAAAGCTTAAAACAGCCAATCTCCTCAGCAGTATTTAGCCACACTTGTCTTCACAAAGCATGTTTCTGTTCAGGGTTAGCAGATGATGACTCCTCCCCCCCTTCCCTCTCCTTCCTGGGCATCTGCAGCACCCTTGGGATGGGCACCTTGGGTAAAGACCCTAAAAAATAGAGGAGGAAATAGGATGGTTCAGTCTGGAGAAGAGGAGGCTGAGGGAAGACCTTGCTCTCTACAGCTGAGAGGAGGCTGGAGTGAGGTGGGGGTTGGTCTCTTCTCCCAAGGAACCAAGACAGAATGAGGCAATGGGTTTAAGTTGTACCAGAGGAGGTTTGGTTTGGATCTGAGGAAGAATTTCTCTCCTGGCAGAGTGGTGAGGGGTTGGCCCAGGCTGCCCAGGGAGGTGCTGGAGTCCCCAGCCCTGGAGGGGTCCAAAAGGGGTGCAGATGGGGCACGTCAGGACATGGTTTAGTGGTAGTGTTGGGTTGATGGTTGGACTTGATGATTTTAGATGCCTTTTCCAACCTTAGTGATTCTATGAATCCAGGGGTCATCTGTTTTAGCCAAAAATATGTGGTTTGCAAGTTATTTTCTCTGTGGTTACAGCGATTTGTGGCTTTCAGGTTGGACCAACCCTCAAGCCCAAGGAGGGGCTCCTCAGCATCCAGGGAGCCCCTCCCTGGGGAGCCTGGGGTGGGATTTTTATCATCATCTCTTTTCTCCTTCCTCTCAGACGGTGTTTGTTGGCAAGAACAAGCCCCAGAAAGACCCCCTGAGGCCCCCCCACTGGCAGGGCTTCAGGCTGGAGGAGTATCTGATCGGGCAGCCCCTGGGGCAGGGCTGCAGTGCTGCTGTGTATGCAGCAGCCATTCCCCCCCCCAGAGCTCCTGGGGGGCCCGTGGGGGGCGAGCAGGGACCAGCCCAGCAGCCAGATGGTGGCCTGGAGGAAGAGGAGCCCTCAGAGAAACACCCACCCAAGGAGGCTTTCCCCTTGGCTATCAAGATGATGTGGAACATTTCGGTAAGGGCTTGGTTCTTAACCTGCTCTGCAGCCTAAAAATGAGATGCCTGTGAGGTGGTGGGTGGGGAGTGTGTTGATCTGTGACACTGGAGAGGTAGAGTGAGGGAGTTGATGTTGGTCATTCCCCTGGAACTGGTGCTGGTGGTGGTTTTGGAGGGGATGCTTTGGGGAGAAAAGGTTTTTCTGAAGCTGGCTCTCAAGGTGAGGTGGAAGGAAGGGGAGAGCCACGGCCAGCAGAGCTTTGGGAACCCATCCTCGTTGGGGTCAGGACAGAGATTTCCTCCTGCAGAGCATGCCTGAGGCCTGGGGGGATGGGGCAGTCACCTGCATGCTGGGTCCCCTGCCTGTGAAGTGCCTGGGCCAGCTCTGCACCAGTATTCCCTGGCCTGAGTGACTCTGGTGATCCAACCCCTCAGTGGGGCTGTTTCACATTTAAAAACAATCCCCTTGGCTTTTCCCACAGAGGAGGTTCTGTGGGAGTTTGTGACAAGTGGGTGTTCTGAGAGGGCCTCCCTGAGGGCCAACATCTGAAACCCTCTGGGCTCCAGAAACACCCTGGGGTGTGGCCAGTCTGGTTTTAAGGTTGAAAATGATTAAGAGAGCACTCAGCCAGTGCATTGGAAGAGAGAAATAGATTTATTTCTGCAAGGAAAGACCTTGCCACATCCCTGGGTAAACACCTGAGGCAGTGAACTGCCTCCCCCAGTTTGCAGAGCAGGGAAGGGAAAGTCTCCACCAGCCTAACCCCAGCTCTAGGGTGGTTTGCTTTCAGTCTGGGGTGGTTTTGGGGCTGGAAGCAGCGTGGTGTGTCCTTGCTCTTGCAGGCTGGCTCCTCGAGTGAAGCCATCCTGGAGGCCATGGGCAGGGAGCTGGTGCCAGCCACAGGCCTGGCCTTGGCTGGGGAGTATGGAGCCAGAGCCACCCACAGGTACGTGCTGCTGCTGTCCTCTGAGGCTGCCACAGGAGCTTGGGGCACAGCTCTAAGGGCATCAACTCCATCAGCCCAACGCCCCTGTGACCACTAAACCATGTCCATGTGTTCTTTTGAGCCCCTCCAGGGATGGGGACTCTACTGCCTCCCTGGGACAATCCCTCAGGAAATTCTCCCTCATAGGAAAGAAATCCTCATTTCTGATATACAGAATTCTTCCTGATATCCAGCCAGAACCTCCCCTGGTGTAACTTCAGCCCATTTCCTCTCCTCTCACTGGTGACTTGAGAGAAGAGACCAACACCAACTTGGCTCCAGCCTTCTTTTCAGAGAGTTGTAGAGAGCCAGAAGGTCTCCCCTCATCCTCCTCTTTTCCAGACTAACCAACCCCAGGTCCCTCAGCTGCTCCTCACCAGCCATGTTCTCCAGACCCCTCCCCAGCTCTGTTCCCCTTCTCTGGACCCATTCCAGCCCTTCAAGGTCTTTCTCATCCTATGGAGCCCAAAACTGGTGTTTTTTAATTAAAAAATCTGCAGCTGGTAACAGTTTGACTGTATTAAACATCAGACAACTTGACTGTAGGACAGTTGGTGCTTTTCTAGAGGTGGTTTGGTTGTGAAATGGGTTCTGGGCAGGGAGGTGAGAACAAAGAAACTGGTGAGAAGAAAAATAGGAGATGTCCCAATTCCTTCTCTTACAGCTGAGTGAGGAGTGAGCGAGCAGCACCAAGGTGGAGAAGCTGAAATCCTCTGAAGTTTGCTGTCTTTTGGTTCTAAAACACATCTTTTTGTTCCATTTGAAACAGTGCAGTGTAGAATGATTTACATTTCAAATCCATCTCTGCTGCTGATACCAGTGAAGGATGAATGCTGGGAGGTGCAGCAGCCAGAGGGTGTTTGACATTCCAGGAGGCAGATACCCAGAGAGGTGCCCTGCCTTTCCTTGCAGTGAGTGCTCCCTGCCTGTGCCCTCAAAGAGAGGGTCTAAATTAACATGCCTGGCATGAAGCTGACCTTTATTTTCTGCCTGGCAGTAATTGTGTTTGGTTTTTTCCTCCTCCAGAGCTGCTGTTGGGGTTTGGTTTGGACTGAGGAGCAGCCTGTGATGAGCTCTGCTCTTGTGAGCAGGGTTTGAATGAAAGGAAAGGCTCCAAGTTTGAGTGTTTTCAGCAAAGCTTTGTTTGCTGTGCTGGTAAAGCACCAGGGTTTCCACTGCATGAAGGGAAATGCACTTACAGCAGAGTCCTTCCCACAGCCACAGGTGAAGGTGAGGGCTGTCCCTCCTCTGCTGGTGTGTCAGCAGCCTTAGAGGAGGTTTGTTTTGCTGTGGGGAGTGCTGGGGTGGATTCTAAACTCCAGAGAAGGACCTGGCATCCTTCTTCTGGAGTCTGGAGAAGAGGAGGGTCAGGGGAGACCTTCTGGCTCCTCTTAACTCCCTGAAAGAAGGCTGGAGTGAGGTGGGGGTTGGTCTCTTCCAAGTCACCAGTGATAGGATGAGAGGAAATGGGCTGAAGTTGCCCCAGAGGAGGTTTCAGTTGGATCTGAGGAAGAATTTCTCTCCTGGCAGAGTGGTGAGGGATTGGCCCAGGCTGCCCAGGGAGGTGCTGGAGTCCCCAGCCCTGGAGGGGTTCAAAAACCATCTGGATGTGGCACTTCAGGACATGGTAGCATTGAGTTGATGGTTGGACCTGATGATCTTAGAACTCTTTTCCAGCCTTCATGATTCTGTATTTCTGATTCTTTGGTGGGGAGCAGGGGCCACATTACTGCAAAGTAATTCCAGAAGTACCAGAGCTGTGTCTGTGATGAGCCAGAGCTGAGCAGGAGCCTGCTGCAACCTGTGCTGTCCATGCTTTGTCACAGAAAGCCCATCCCTGGGAGGAAGAAGCTGCAGCCTCATCCCAATATAATCCAGGTGATCCGAGCCTTCACCTCCTCTGTCCCTCTGCTGCCTGGAGCCTTCCTGGACTATCCTGATGTCCTTCCCCTGAGCCTCAATCCCAGAGGGATCGGCCACATTTTTCTTCCTGGTGATGAAGAAGTAGGTAGAGGGAAGCTCCTTGAGGCCACTTGGGCTTTTTGAGACTGTTCTGCTGCTTCACAGATCCTTGCAGAGCTTTGGGCTGGGCTGCTGCCAGCAGGCAGGGTACCCTCTTGGAAGCACCTCCTAGGATCTAAGTCCTTGAGGTTTTCACTTTGGTTGGACCATGAAGACAAGCTGGTTTTGTTTTAATAATTACCCCCCATTACAGTGAGGAATGTGGAGCTTGTCTGCATTTATCTGCCCTTCTAATCTGAGCTTCAGCCCTGGTCTGAGCACCTTGCTAGAGAAGGAGCAGGGTTAGGGATGAGATTTATTAGTGCTTGGTGTCTCTGGCTTTCTCTGCTGGGTGTTGGTTCTCATTGCAGTGGCACAGGGATAAAAGCACCTTCTGTTTCCCATCCTTGCTCTGCCCACGTCTGGAGCAGTGCTCTGTCCTCTCTGTGCTTCAACAACACCTTCATTCTCCTGCTGGGCACATCTCAATTTGCTCATCTGCATGATTGATCTGCCTCCTCTTGTGTGAGGAAGAAGTTCTTCCCCAGGAGAGTGGTGAGACCCTGGAATGGGTTGCCCAGGGAGGGGGTTGAGGCCCCATCCCTGGGGGTCTTTAAGGCCAGGCTGGAGGAGGCTCTGGGCAGCCTGATCTAGTGGGAGGTGTCCCTGCTCATGGCAGAGGGGTTGGAACTGGGGGATCCTTGTGGTCCCTTCCAACCCTGACAGATTCTGATCTGTTTTAGCAGAGGACTTTAGAGCCCTAATGGCTCAAGGGTTGGACTTGATGATCTTGGAGGTCCCTTCCAACCTAAAGGATTCTATGATTCTAAGTCTAACACCAGTCCTTGACCTGTAAGCATGACCACTCCATACCTGGGGCACCTGCCAGGCTGCTTTACAGGCTCATTTTATTCACAGTTGTGGTGAAAGCACCAAAAACCCAGTGTTGGGTGTTGCAAAAGAGGATTTGAGAACAGCAGACAGGGGAGTGGAGGTTCCCTGCTCCCCTGATCGTGGAGATGGGGAAGAATTCAGCTCATCCAGGCGTGCTGTGTTCCCAGCCAGTGCTGAGGCTGAACAATTAGACCTCCCAGGGTGCTAATTGAGATGTTTTCCCTTCTCCTGAGCAGTTACCCGTGCACGCTGCGCCAGTATCTGCAGGAGAACAGCCCAGATGTTGCTCTCTCCACCATGATGATCCTGCAGCTCCTGGAAGGTGTGGACCACCTCGTTCGACACGGGGTAGCCCACAGGGACCTGAAGTCTGACAACATCCTGGTGGAATTTGATTCTGGTATGTAGGGCACTGAGGATCAAGGCACACACAGAAGCCATGTCGGGGTGTAGGTGTTTGGGGAAGCCCTACCCAGGCCTGGGTGGGGGGGAAAATGATCATCAGAACTCTTTGAAGAATCTGAGGGGTAGTTTTTGGCTGTCAGTGCAGCTCAGGGGAAGCAGTGGCTGCAGTTGGGCTGGTGGGAGTGGCCTTGACAGGAGCCTGTCCCCGAGGGGATGCGTGGCACAAGCTGGAGCAGGGGGGCTCCAGGTCTGTGCTTTGCCTCAGGCTCCTGGCTCTGCCATCTCTGCATCCTGAGGGCATGGGGTGGGTGTTAAAGTGCCACTGCTCAGCCAGGTTAATGTGCTGCAGCCTGGGATGAGGAGGAGACATCCTCTGGAAGGGGAGGGAGTGAGAGTGTCAAAGCCAGAAGTGGTGGTTTCATGGGCTCGTTCTCCTGTCAGCCTCTCTAGTTGAGATTTTAATTACCTGGGCTCTTTATCAGCATGATTGAGACTCATAACAGGCAGGAAACAACAGCAGGCAGCCAAATCTAATTAAAGCTCTTGTTAGAGCAGCCATGGAAGGTTTTCAGCAGTACTAATGCCAGGTTTTTCTGGGTGGAAGAGCTGCTCTGGAGTGATGCTGAATGTGGCTGGGAATGATCTAAAGCATCAATTTTCTGTATCAGGAGCTGGAGAAATAATGATCCTGCTTTACAAAGCTTGATTTGGCATCAGGATGAGGACTGTGAACAAATGTAAAAGTTTCTTGCTGTAGCTGCAGCACTGCTGTAGGTAAAGGGGAAAAATGAACTTATTCCTCCACCATGGATGAGTCTCTAACCTGATGTGTCTTCAGTTTTATGTGATCTGTGACATTTTGTCAGAGACACATCCCATGGGGAGAAGTAATGTCATCTAAAGAGAGGAGATTCAGTTCAGATAGAAGGAAGAAATGTTTGATGCTGAGGGTGCTGAGCCCCTGGCCCAGGCTGCCCAGAGAGGTGGTCGCTGCCCCATCCCTGGAACCATCCCAGGGGAGGTTGGAACAAGCTCTGAGCACCCTGCTCTAGCTGCAGATGTCCCTGTCCCTGCAGGGGGCTGGACTGGGTGACCCTGAAAGGTCCCTTCCCACCCAAACCATTCTCTGATTCTGTGAAATGGAAGAACAAGTTTTGTTTTAATAAAATTGACATTCCAGCTGATAGTACAGAGGTGAAGCAGCAGAACAGGGCATGGCTGTGCTGGCTCCTGGGGATGTTGTGATTCAGAAGCCTCCTGTCCATGTGGTGTGTCTATAGAGCCTGGTCACAGAATCATGAAGGTTGGAAAAGATCTCTAAGATCATCAAGTCCAACCATCACCCAACACTACCATGACTGTTGAACAATGTCCCCCAGTGCCACATCTGTGCATTTTTTGAACCCCTCCAGGGCTGGGGACTCCAGCACCTCCCTGGGCAGCCTGGGCCAATCTCTCACCACTCTGCCAGGAGAGAAATTCTTCCACATCCAATCTAAACCTTCCCAGCTGCTGCTTGCCCCATTGCCTCTTGTCCTGTCCCTAGTAACCTGGGAGAAGAGACCAACCCTCACCTCACCTTAACCCCTTTTCAGGGAGCTGTAGAGCCAGAAGGTCTCCCCTGAGCCTCCTTTGCTCCAGGCTCAGCACCCCCAGCTCCCTCAGCTGCTCCTCCCCACACTTGGGCTCTAGACCCTTCCCCAGCAGCTCCGTTGCCCTTCTCTGGCCACGCTCCAGCCCCTCAAGGTCCTTCTGGGAGTGAGGAGCCCAAAACTGACCCCAGTGCTCAAGCTGTGGCCTCCCCAGTGCTGAGCCCAGGGGGATGATCCCTGCCCTGCTCCTGCTGGCCACACTGTTTGATCCAGGCCAGGCTGCTGGTGGCCTCCTTGGCTACCTGGGCACAAGCTGGCTCCTGTTCATCTCTCTGGCCTCAGCACCCCCAGGGCCTTTTCTGCCTGGCAGCTGAGTCCTCCCAGGCCAAGCTCTAACCCTGCTGGCCCCGTGTTGTTTGCAGCTGGCTGCCCCTGGCTCGTGATCACAGACTTTGGCTGCTGCTTGGCAGATGAGAAGCTGGGCCTGGAGCTGCCTTTCACCAGCACTTACGTGGACCGGGGTGGCAACGGCTGCCTGATGGCCCCTGAGGTACAGCCCCACTGAGGCACTGGCCTGTGCTGCTCCTCTGCCCCTCCTGCTGCTGGCACTGAAGGGTTTCAGCTGGGGTAGGAACTGGGGAAAGCTCTGGAAGCTGTGGAGGGGGATGTGTGCTGTGTCCCTGAGCCTCCCCCCCCCCCACGTGCACACAGCACAGCAGCACTTTGGTTCTGTGCTCTCTGCTCACAGGGAGAGCTGCTGGAAGCTCTCTCAGCAGAGAGATCTTTGGCTGTTTCTTCCCTGCTGGGTGATCCAGAGACAGGCAGAGGAGACAGCACCTGTAGCTGTGTGATCTCTGTCCTGTAAGTCCAGTTCAAGGTGGTTGTGAAACTGTTCACAGTTCTTTTTTATTCCTCTGTTGAAATTTGTGAAGAATTTCTCTTTATTTCTTTGATGTCTCTGTAATAAAAGCAAAGACACCCTCAACACCCTTAACTTGTCACCTGGAGCACCCCAGGGCTGGTGCAGTCTTGGTTGTTCACCTGCACATCTCCTGTCTGTCTCCAGTCCCAGCATGAAATCACTCTCAGGACTCTGAGGGCTCCTTGGGGGCTGTGACTAAATCCTGGGCACAATGACCAGCACCCTGCTGAGCTGAGCAGTGCCAAAGGCTTGGAGCATGCCAAGGGGGAATATTTACACCAGAGATTGAGGTGGCAGAGCTCTGGTTTCAGTTTCTCTCAGTGGAAGTGCTGCCTCTGCCCTTGCCAATGACTGCTGTGTGTCTGAACCCCCTCTCTGTGGCAGGTGATCACAGCCTCACCAGGCCCTGGCAAGGTGATCAACTACAGCAAAGCTGATGCCTGGGCTGTTGGAGCAATCTCCTATGAAATCCTGGGCCTGGCCAACCCTTTCTACGGCCACGGGGACGTGGTGCTGGAGAGCAGGAGTTACCATGAGGACCAGCTGCCCAACCTGCCCCCTCACGTGCCCCTGGAGGTGAAGCAAGTGATCAAAATGCTGCTTCAGAGGGATCCCAGCAAGGTGAGAGGGTGTTGTCTTGAGGAAGTCATCTAGCAGGGCATGGGAAGTATTGTCTGTAGATCCCAGCCCTGGGGACATTCAAGGTCAGGCTGGATGAGGCTCTGAGCAGCTTGATCTAGTTGGAGATGTCCCTGCTTACAGCAGGGGGGTTGGACTGGGTGACCTGTGGAGGTCCCTTCCAGCCCAGGGGGGTTGGACTAGATGACCTGTGGAGGTCACTTCCAGCC